CGTGGGGAGGGGGGCGATGATAACTTCCTCAATGGCTCAAGGGGGTGTTTCTTTCCAAAAGGTTAAGAACCACTGATCTACATGCCTAAAGCATGAAAAAGGACTGTACTCTTACGCTAGTACTCTGTGGTGTGCTGAAAATTTCTTCCAATAGAATTTCAATCATTCTGGAGCTATTTGGCAAAAAAGAAATTACCTTCAAAAATAATTTCAAAAGAAGAAGCCTTTTGGATAAATTCTCATGGGTGAGCTGCTTACCTTACTCAATGTAGTTGGGAAGGGTGTGTGTACAGCTTGTCTTTCTCTGTACAATCACTTCTGTGACAGCTGGATGTGCTGCCCCTTTCTACTTCCCACACTTTAGTTAAAGCCCAGGGCAGTCTGTCATTAGGGAGCTCAAAGGGCCTCTGCAGACAGGAAATGCAGGCAGCCAAAGAGAGACTGTAGAGTGATAATAAAAATACAAAAAAGGAAACAAAAACAATTGCAGCATCCTAAAATGTTATGATTAGTTCACAAATATAACCAAAATACATTGTGAAAGGGCCTGAGAATGAGGCAGAAAAAGGAACACCTCTTAGGCGTCATTTACATTAAAGCGATAGTTCGGCATATGTGTCATTGTAGCTTTCAATCAACTCCAAGTCACGTGCCATCACATGGTATTTGAATCGCAGTTTGTGTTCCCATGAAACAAATGTTTAATCTGGTCATTTTGAAGGGTCACCCTCGCTAGACACGTGTGCTCTCTCTCTCTCCGACCCAAGGCTAAAATTCAGAGAAGCATGAGGGTGGGTGGATGTGTGTGCATGCCTGGAGAAGGGAAGTGCAACAGGAAACAGCCAAGTTGGTACTAGAAAGGGCTTCACGTACACAGTAGTACCTTGTGAACACTGACGCCCTCAGAAGGACCTAGCAGTAACGGGTGGCTGACACACACCACAAACATGCAAACAAAACACATGCACACACACTGGGGTGAAGGAGACCCAGGCTGAAACTGGCTGGTTGGAGTGGGGAAGAGAGAGAGAAAGTGATGGTGGTGGCATTTTGGCTACACGCCTGCCTTTAAGCTGCCGGTTCCTGGATTTGCGGGTTTGTGTGCCAGCTCAGTGAAGAAATGCCTTCTTCACTTGATCTTACTTTATCTGTCCTCCCAACCACCCAGGTCTAGAAGAAGTGTTGGGTGCTCCTGCAGGCTGCTTGGAGGCTCGACTTCTCCCCCAGGCCCTGATTTTAACACAACAGTAGCAGTGGCAAATGACTGGTTAACGTAGACAGAAGCATTCAGATATAGGGGAAATCAGATGAGTAAGAAAACTTGCTGCCACTCCAAAAAACACATTTCCCCTCAAATTAAGCTGCTGTTGCTCATGCATCATGCATTCACCCATTTTACAGTGATTCAAAAGAGGCTAAACCTGAATTACATAGGAGGTTATTTTAAGCAATGTAACCACCTTCTTACATTGGGAAACAAACATTGAGAAAAGTGGAGGTCAAGTGGCGTTTGCTTGGATAGCGTGTTTTTTTTGTTGCCAGTGTATTGTTGTGATAAGGGAGATAGATTATCTGTCACTGTGATGGGTGTCGTTAGCCCATCAGTCACAGTGACAGATAGTCTCTCCCCCTTATCACAACAATACACCCACAACAAAAAACATGCTGATCACCATAATCACCCAATCTCCTGAACAGGACAAAAGTTATAGCCCACAGCTATAACTACTAAACTAGCCAAGCAAACTGCACCATTGTACAGACAGAGTTCTGACTCTGGTCCACTGCAGATGCCTGCCACAGAGACTGGTGAAACATTAGGAAGAAGAAAAACCTTAAAACCAGAGCCAAACAACCCAGAAAACCCACAACAACCGCAGTTGCTGTTGTCACCACTTGCAGGGCAGTACAAAAAACAAAGCCTTCAGGTTTTGTTTTGTTTTAAAGTCATGCTACAATTGCAGATCTGAAAAATTGCTGGAGAATTTCTCATTCCCCTGGAGAAAGTCTTTGAAATTGTATCTCTGATTTCTCTCCCTACAAATGGGGTGGGAAATTCCAAAAGGTCCTTTGTGCAGAGATGTGTAAAGCTGAAGATGTTGACATGAAAGTTGAAGATGTTGGACTTCATTGATTTAAGAGACACAGAATAAAAATACATGTTGAGTTACATATGTCACGTGTGCAATACTTTAGTACTCCATGAGGATAAAGAATGTTTATCTTTTTTTTCTTAACAGATGCCTGGAAGGCTAGATTATGTCACAAATTCAATTAAAACCAGTTTGAAATCTGTTATGTTCCTCTGCACCAGCCATCCATGGACAGGACTGACACACTTTTCAAAGAGTTCTTTCACATACAACTAGTGACTCACAGCTGAGGTTAACATTTAAATAAATTATTTAGTTATTGAAATATTGCTTTTGAATGTAGATATCTGAATCTGAAAAGATAAGAAGATTATGCTGGACGACACTGAGCTTCCACCTAGTCCAAAATCCCATTGCCACAATTTCCTGCTTGATGATTCTGGGAAGTCCACAAGCATGGTATGAAAGCTATATCCTTCACAGACACTGGTATTTAGTGGCGTACAGATTTCATAATAATAAGCCTGTGATTCCTCAATTTAGCTTCATCCCTTTATGAAAATCAATTTACAGATGCAGGCAATCCCTTTGATTTATTCGTTGTACATTGGATGTATGCGAAAAGGGTCATATTTTAATCCAGTTGAATCAGGATTCTTCAGACTCACAAATCCACAGGCAGCTTAAGGGCTATAAGTCATGAAGTCTTCAGTCCCAAGTTTTGGCATTGGATCATGCTTCCATCCAGTGGATTCTTCAGACTCACAAATCCACAGGCAGGTTAAGGGCTATAAGTCATGAGCAGTCCCACGTTTTGGGGTTGGATCATGCTTCCATCCAGTCAAATCAGCAGCATTTATGTTAGTCATGACTAACCTGGTACATTGATTTCACTTGGATGAAACGTATGACTGAGTTAGACTGAGTCCAATTATCTATGTCATGTGTAATAATACAAGAATACAGACTACATTCGCAGTCTCCTTCTATCTTCTCAGTCCCCCATGGATGTACTCTAGTGCATTTTGGAATTGGTGTTTTATTCTGCAGAACTGAAAAATGAGACTTATGGATCTGGTCTGTCTCAGAGGCAGAGGGAGAAATGGGATTTTCTTCTAACTCTAATGGTTCCACTGAAATACATTTGTGGCCTAATTTTGCTGAAGGCTGCAATCAGGGGGAAAATCAGATTTATCACAGACTTTTTCTTTTCAGTAGTACAAAACTGGAAGCAATGCATAGCAAAGGTAGAAAATCCATTTGTTAGTTTTGTTTATAGGCCACCTATCTCCTGATAAGAGGACCCAATGTGTCTAGAAGTAGAAATGCTTTTTCTTTTGCTATGAATTGGTAAGGCAGTAGGGGAAAATTCACTTAAACCACAGTTCAGTTAATTAAGGGACATGCACTTAAGTCATGGAATCAAGTAATCCTGAATAAACCTATCTGTATGCAAGCCCCATTTTTTTTAACTCAGTGGCCTCTCCCCACACTCCTACAGCATGATATTGAAACAGAATACATGATCTACAGAATACACAGTATTTCCATTTCACCCAGTGAAAGAAGCACATCTGTAAGAAGCCCACCAGGGCTTTATGCAGGGTGAAGGAACTAGCCCTTTGCTCCAGGGCACCAAAATTCAGACAGCACCAACATCTAGGGAAAGTATTGGTAAATGCTGGAAAATAAATGGCAACACCTCCTGGCCCTATCCACTTCCTTTTGAAAAAATAAACTTTTTTTCTTCTGGGGGATACCATATTCTCCTTCTCCTTTCTTCTCTGTCAGGATGGAGTGGGTGGGTAAAAGGTAAAGGTAAAGGTTCCCCTTGTCAATTGTTGTCCAGTGGTGTTCGACTCTAGGGGGCGGTGCTCATCCCCGTTTCCAAGCCACAGAGCCAGCGTTTTGTCCGAAGACAATCTTCTGTGGTCACATGGCCAGTGCGACTTAGACACGGAACGCTGTTACCTTCCCACCGAGGTAGTCCCTATTGATCTACTTGCATTTGCATGCTTTCGAACCACTAGGTTGGCGGGAGCTGGGACAAACGACAGGAGCTCACTCCATCACGTGGATTCGATCTTACGACTGCTTGGTCTTCTGACCCTGCAGCACAGGCTTCTGCGGTTTAGCCCGCAGCGCCACCACATCCCTATCGCCACCACGTCCCTATGGAGTGGGTGGGAGGCAGTGCCAATTGCCCCAACTGCCAAAATTGCTAGTTGTTTCTCTGCTGTGTAAACTAAAGAACATAACCATCTAATCGTCTTTGTACATTCAGGCTGAGACCATGGGGATCCAATAGCCAATGTTGTGAATAATCACTCAGGGTTGCCTTCTCAGACAGCCCTCTCAGGCCCACTTTAGCATGTCAGCTGGAAAATCCTTTGCAGATGTTTTCTAGGAGGCTCCCTGGTTACTCTTGCCTTTATCTTGGTTTGTCTATTTAGTAGCTGGACATTATTATCCATACAGGCACTGGAAAAGTGACTTCAAGTACACTATCTAAAAGAGGGGGAGAATAAACCTAAAATATAGTCACTATATAGATATTGTAGGCAAATCTCTCTCAGGGGCAATTTCCATCAATAGAAGAGAATAGTAAAAAATGCAAAGTTCTTGTGCTCTCATCCAATTAAGCTTAAGCAATAGACAATAACCAGTTCCTGACATTGTCTACAATCCTTTGTGTGCTTACTTCACAGCAAGCCCTGCTCAACCTAGTGGGATTTACTTGCAAGTGAACATGCACAGGAACAAGCCACAGGATTCTGTCTGAATCTGGAAGTGCATCCTACGTGTAACTCAAAGCAAAACACAGTCTGTTGTCCAGAAATAATATTTATTCATCAACCATAAAACACAGAATAGAAAAAGCTTTGTAAATAAAACTATATATATATATAATGCTTCATCTTTTTTTTATTCAGTACTCCACAAACAACACCACAGACAATAACAAAATATTTCAATTAATTTAAAAAACTTCATGAATTATGGTTGTCATTCTGCTTTTGTCATTATCCATCATAATCATTGTTATACATAGTTTCATTGGATTTCATAAACCTGTTTCTTAAAAAAATTGAAGCAATTTGTTATGTTACCAAGAATTAGAACATTTAAAGATACCCATAAACAACAGAACAGCTCAGAGGAGTTTATGCAGACTGTTCAGTGCCAAATCATCTACCACTGGGACCAGCAAAGACACCGAACGAAGCCACTTTTTGCACCTGTAGGAATCCTCTGGGCATGTTCATTTGCATGAGCAAGATGGTGAGTTGCTGGGAGAACTCACGGATCACAGCTGTAGGAATCCCTGGCATCTCTGATGTTCCCTGACACTTATCAGGGACAGAGATGAGATAAGTGCCTTCTTTGGTCTGCGGTTCCCAGAATCCCACAGCCACTGTGGCTGGTAGCAATGGTGGCTATGGGATTCTGGGAGCTGTAGTCCCCAGAAGTAACTTTTCATCTCTAAGATCACAGAGGCAGATATAGTTGAGATCTGTGAACTTCTATTTACACGTAACCTTACTCATGCAAATACTGATGCCAGAACTCCTGTATGCATAAAACAGCCGAGTGTATGTCTGAACATGCCTCAAATTCATAAAGAAAAAGAATTCACAACTGAATTGGGGTAGAAGTCAATCCAAGGAAGAGAGAAATAATATTGGAACAACTACATATTTTCCATTGCCCTTTTGTTAGTGTGGTCTCTTCCCTTTTCAGACTTCTCCTGGTTTAGATACTCCAGAACTTTTGCTAGCATATCCTCATCCATATATGGCCTGTTTTGTGTGTCATCATTCTCCTGGGCCATTGGCAGCCTTTTGCTGAGTGAAGTGAGTTTGTCTGATTCTCGAGTGCCCAGCTGATTTAGCTGCTCCTTGATGGCCTGCTCAAATTGATCATCTTCTTGCAAGTCATCCTCAGATGAAACTGCAAGTGGGATTTGTTTCCCCTGATCTGTATTGATAACTTCAGGATATTTTGCCAGCACCTTGGCCAAGTAGTCGGCCAGGTCTTCTTCTTTGTCATTCAGTGGTTCTTGTTCCATCTGCCGTCTCTCCAACTGGTTAAGCCAAGGAGCTTTGGGAAGATGATGTCCTTTAGGTCTTGCAAGCATGTAAGACACTCTTGGCAGGTTGTTTTCTTGACTGAGTTGATTTACAGGATAAGAGGGTTTGTCATTACCTGTCCCTAAAAGATTGATAATATCTTCAACATTAAGCTCTTCTGGCATCAAATTAAGTCGTTGCTTTCTATAACCATTTAATGAACTCATCTTGTTTTTGAATATGTCTGAATTGTCTAAATTAATTTCCGGGATCTCATCAGTGTCTTCGGGGAGTTCTGGCTCTTGTTCTTTCTCACTTGGATGTTTATCCCCAGATCGCAGCATCTCAATCAAATCCTCTGGTGGGATTTGGAGATTCTTTGAGATTTCTATTAACTGATAAATAGCCTGAGGATCAAGTTGCTTTCCAAACCATCTGGCTGCCCTTTTATCTTCATTTTGCTTGATCCTTAGGTAGTCATTACCAGCACTGTTCATCTTTTTCAAATAATAATCCATCAACTTTGAAACATCATCTGAGACCTGATCTTTGTCTTCTCTCTTCATACTGTCCTCTAGAGCCCCTGATCTCTTCACTTCATCCTCAACCTCCTCTTCATTCTTCTCAATATGCTCTTTACTGTCTCTTATTTCCTCTTGAGTTTGACTTTCCACTTTTTCCTCTATTGGATTCCAATCCTCTCCTCCAACGACATCTTCATAAGCAATGTTATTCCCTTTAAAGGCATCATCTTCATCATCATCTGCATACAATTTCTGTTCCTCGTCAAGCCTCTCTTTTTTAAGGTTATTTGGCCCCATCATCTTGCCCAACTCCTGAAACACTGACTCTAAAGTAGCGAGACTTTGGGGTGTGTACTGTTCTTCTACTATTTCATTTGTCCGTTTATAAGGGTTATCTCTTGAATTTTCTTCAAGGTAGGAAAGATGTGGGATCTTGGAATGTCTGTTCCATGCATCAGTCCAAGGCCGGTTATCATAATCATCAGTCATTCCATCTAGGAAGACATTGTCTGAACTCATAGAGTAAGGTTTGTTTTCTTTTGAGGCACCCTTTGATTCTTTTTCTCCTTGTCTTAGAGCTTCTAACATTGCCTTCACCCACTGTGACTCGTCTTCTGACAAAGATTTTCTTAGATGGTCTGGTAGGTAGTGTTGATCTTTGCTCTCTTTTGATGGCAGAACAAATGGGGCAGCTTGGTAGGAGTTATAATCTGGGCTAGTTTCCCCATTGCTGGTTTGTTTTTGCAGGTTTTCTATATATTCCAGAGCTTTGATCATATCTGGGCTGGGAAGCCTTTGCAAGTTCTTCATTAGGTGCTCAGGATCCTTGTGGATGTTTTGGTAACGTTGAAATGATGCAGCATTTACGTAACAGATAAGCACAAAAAGGAGAGCTAGAGGCAAGATGGTTCCAAGCCGGGAGGTTTTAGCATCAGCCATTTCCAAATGTTTCCTTAAAATACACAAGAACGTAAAATTAGTACATAGAGCTGAAGTTGGAACATCATCTAAGCACAACTGAACACAGTCTTGCCCTGGAAAATAGCATACTAGTATCTGAATGTTTAAATGCCATACAATTTATGTAGATGAAGTAATCTACATCTCCTTTTCAACAACTGCATGAGATGCCATTCTGTCCCTTCAGCGCTGCCTGGGGGCCGTACTGCAATGGATGCAGGAAAATGGGCTGAGGCTGAACCCTGACAAGATGGAGGTGCTGAGGGTGGGTGTCCCCACCATTGGAGGTTTGGATGACTCTGTCTCATTTGGGGGGGGTCGCCCTTGCCGCAAAAAATGGGGTCCGCAGCTTGGGGATCCATCTTGACCCAGCGCTCACCATGGAAACTCAAGTGGCATCGGTGGATAGCCTGGCTGTGACCCTATCTCGATGTGGGGGCACTCACTACCTTGGTACATGCGCTTGTAATCTCAAGATTAGACCACTGTAATGTGCTCTATGTGGGGCTACCTTTGAAGTTGTCGCGGAAACTCTAGGTGGTGCAGAATGCGGTGGCCAGACTTCTTAGTGGAGCGAGAAAATACTACTATCTCTCTCCTATTCTGGCCATACTGCATTGACTGCCCATTCAGTTCCGCATTGACTTCAAAGTTTTGATGCTTACTTATAAAGCCCTAAATAGTTTAGGGCACCGATACTTGGCGGTACGTCTACTCCCACAAAACTCTACCTGTGTCACTCGTGTGAGCCAGGAGGTGAGGCTGAGGAGCCTGCCCCCGAGGGAGGCCCGGAAGGAAAAAACAAGAAACCGGGCCTTCTTGGCAGTGGCTCCTCGCCTCTGGAACAATCTCCCTCCGGAGATTCGTGTGGCCCCCTCGCTGAGTATTTTTAAAAACCAATTAAAAACTTGGATGTTCAGGTAGGCCTTCCCCTCCAGTTAATATCTGATTCTCTCCTTTTTTTGTGGTTTATCTTTCATTTTTTCTTCCCCATCTTGTAGTATTGACTATTTAATGTAATAACGCTTTTTTATTATTTTATTATAGTATTATGAGTCTGTAAGCCGGCTAGAATGGTCGCAATGACCAGATAGACGGGATATAAATAAATAAATAAATAAATAAATAAATAAATAAATAAATAAATAAATAAATAATCTGCTGTTCCTATAACTTAACTGTAACAACAATCTAATTGTTATATGTTATTGTTTGTTCCTCATAGTATGGTAGTGTTGTCAGAGCAGATAAACTGATAACTGAACCTCTCCCTAAGAATCCTATAGAACTTTATAGACCTCCAGGGAAAATTCAGAAGCCTGTGTTCATCATAGCTTGCATTTATTGTTGTTGTTTGTACTTATATACTGCCCCATAATGCTAGATCACTCTCTAACTGGTTTACAACATAATTATATAAACAACAGTTTGCTCTCTGGCAAGTTAGGTACTCATTTACCAACCTTGAAAGGATGGAATACTGAATCAACCTTGAGCCAACTACCTGAACCCATTGGAATCATGCTCAGGTCATAGATAGAGACTTGACTGCATTTATTTCAGAAGGATTAATCCTATTGTGACCCAGAAGAGTATTTTGCACTTTGTACAATTCTCAGTTTTTCTCAATATCCTTTAACTTATTTGCCTCATACAAGACAGGCAAACTGAATGTCCAAGAAAATTTCTACTTCCTTCCTTGAATATTGAATAGGGATATGCAAGCACATATAAATGTGTTATACTATTATCTATTGAATATCCAAAAAGCTTAACTATGGAAATCTATTGCAATGTAATGGAAGCATGACTATGAACACTTAATGGACTAAATGAAAAATATAAGTAACTAACCTAACCAAATTTTAAAATGCTCTATCAAAACTCTAACAAATTTAATAGGGTGTTTGAGAATGAAATACCGTAATAAGACTATATGTAAAGTATTACAAAACAATGACAAAGTGTTACATATTTTTCTAAGTTATAAAAGTTTAACTCTCTATTATGTCACATCTATTAAAAGTATCTTAAAAGTATCTTAATAAGACTAGAACATAAGCAATAATGATGGGCATGAACTGCAATCTGATGTTCTGTAGGCGCCTCACCCTCCCCTCTCCCACCTCTTTGCTCATTCCCCAGGTGATGTGCACTCCCCTCCCTGCCTCCTTCAGTGGTTGCCCACTCAAAGGCAGTGCTGTGGGATTCCCTCACTGGATCCTTGTCTGAGCGGGCAGTGGACAGAGGAGATGGAGGAGGGAAGCACATGCTGTGATCAGTGAGAGAGCAGTTGTTCTGAGGAGGCAGGGAGGGAAGTGTGCATTGCCTGGGGAATGGACAAGCCTACAGTGGAGGCAGGAGAGGGGAGTGCATGGTTCCCATGGAACACCAATATGGGCACGGAGCTGAACTGGGCTTAGCCCATCTCTAATAAGAAATTATAAAATCACATCAGCATGTATGAAAACAAATCTTTAACCACCCCCCTTCCCAGCAGTGTTTTTCCTCTCTAATGGCTTTCTTATTTATTTATATTTTATTTTGAACTGGGCTTATATCCCATCCATCTGGTCTATTCGACCACTCTGGGCATCATTTACTCCTTGTTCTAACTATCTTTTATCATCTTAATTCATAATCTTATCAGCCCTTTATTGGTCATAAACAATTTTCTCTGCAGGGTTTGGTGGTCCAAAAACCTGGGAACCAAGAAAATTTTTACAATAGGAAATCCAATTATTCAAGCACCTATTATAATTCTAATGGTTTGTGTATAATGAAAAACTGGCAAGTTGACACTTTGACTATCATGTCATTTTAAGATCAACATTTTTGTAAGGCCTGTAGGAACAAAGGCCTGTAACATAAAAGATCTAGATCTCTGGAAAATCCAAATTTTATAATATTAAAGAATGAAAATGACAAAACCTGCACCCCTTGTCCATGCCTACTCATCATTTGGAAAACAAGTTTGGAAAACAAGGATTGTTTATGGAAGAGTGATCTTGCTTGGCTAGTGCTAGCCACTTGTTTTGAAATTACTATAGTAAACTATTGTTCAAGCCTAAATTTTAAAAGCACTTTTATTTTCAGAGCTGCTTCCATGTATACAAAATTTCACATCTTGACAGGGCCATGTCTATTTTATTTATTGTACAGCATCCAGTACAGTGGTGCCCCACTTGACAACGTTAATCCATTCCGTTAAAATCGCTGTTAAGCGATATCGTCATCAAGCGAAAGAAAATAACCCATTGAAATGCATTGAAAACCGGTTCAATGCATTCCAATGGGTGAAATACCTCATCGTCCAGTGAAGATCCTCCATAGGGGAAGCCATTTTTGATTGCTGTCTTCCAGAAATAGGTCCGGAAAACAGTGGGTGGCCATTTTGAAAACCCAACGATCAGCTGTTTTTGATCTTTGGGAAGCGAAAAATCAGTTCCCGAAGCAGGGAACCAATTGTCATGATGCAGATTTTCACCATTGAAACACTGTTTTGCGATCGCAATTGTGATCACAAAAACCTCATCGTGAAGTGATTTTGTCGTCTGCTGGGGTACTCGTCAAGCGGGGCACCACTGTACCTTTTTACAATTTCAGTCTTGTGCACATTTACTAAGAAATAAGTACCACTGTTTACAGTTATTCCTAGATCTCTAATGTTTTGGCTTGCAGACTATGAACCCTTTAGAATAATGGTTTCCAAGCTTGGGTAACCCAGGTGTTCTTAGAATGCAGCTCCAAGAAATCCTAGCCAGCACAGCTAGTAGTGAAGGCTTCTGGGAGTTGAAGTCCAAGAATACCTGGGTTACTCAAGCTTGTGGAAAGACATCTCCAATATGTAATCATGAGGCTTTTCTACATGCAACCTTAAATCAAGATGTAAACTATAATGTTTCTGAGATATATTCCTAATCCTTTAATATGTAACTGCAAAATATGTCACTTTGGGGAATGTGTAATGCTGGGAGGTGGGATATTTTTGCACATTTCCCCCCTTCATAGACTTCAATTATATTCTTCTTTCCACAACTGCCTATTGCCTTTTATTCAGCTCTTCCTTCCATCACAACATGTCTGTGGTAAATGACAACACTGAACTCTGAAAATAACAAAAGACTAGATCCACAAAAGAAATATGTTTCCAGAAAACAGGTAAATATTAATTCATTTAATAATAATAACAGTATTGTGTGCTGTCTTTTCAATTCTGATGTATGGCTACCCTTTCCAGTGTTTTTTCTAGGTAAAAAAATAGTGTTCCCTTCTTCTGGGGGTGTCCTGGGACTGTGCAGCTTGCCCAAAGCCATACAGGCTGGTTGTACTTGAAGGAGGCACAATGAGGAATAATGTTTTGCAAGCCAAAACATTAGAGAACAATGAGGAATAGGACTCCCAACTTCTGGTTCTGCAGCCAGATACCTAAACTAGTGAGCTATCCAGCCAGCTTGATCCACCTAAGATGAGAATTAAAAGCTTTTTGATAGCCAAGTTGGTTATTCTTTGACATATAAGTTAAGGGAGCTCAATTTAATTTTTATTATAATTAATAGCCTTGGTTATGAGTCCATGATTTGGCATATACCTGACAAGCACATCCAAACCTCACAAGAACCTTATGATCCAAGAACAAGGTAAATGCCTAGTCAAAGTATAAATGAGTTCATGCTATGCTGGTCTATAACTTGAGAAGCTTCTGTTCAACTAAAGTAAGGATGGGAAGCTATTTCAACCCAGCTGCCGAATTCAGTTTCAGAGGTATTCTAAATGGCTATATTCCAGTGGTTGTTTCTCATTTGTGTCATGAAGAAAGTGTGTGGTCATCTGGATAACATCAGAGGGCTAGATGGAGACTCCAGGAGAATTAGATTCAGTGCCACTGCCTGAGAATACCCCATCCCCAAATTTTGAAAACTGTTGGATTTATGTTCAGTTGCCAGCCCTAAAAAAATAGATCCATTAAATCAATTGTCAAGATATACAAATCTCACCATGGACCTATTCTTTATCATGTGCAGTTTGACAGGACATCAGAGTCTGCTGATCTACTCACCCAAACAACACAAGGTTTCAGAAGATGTTTGGGTCCAAATATGTTATAAAAAGAGCAGAATACAACTAGGCTGCCAAGATTATTAAGAGTGAGTCTGAAGTGTTACAGTTTATTTCAAATGAGAGCAATTTCCTCTTGCTTTTTTTTAGGTTAATTGGTTCAAATAGAGAGTTTCGGAGAGGTAGTGATGAGGCAGATGGCAAGGTCCTTTGAACAGATTGAGAGGTTAAGAAGGATATAACATTGTGAAAATGTGTTTCTCTAATATGACAGGCTACATCTTGAGGGAATGTTGTTGCTTATTCTCCCAATGGGTATAAGGAAGAATAAGGCAAGCACTAAAGGCCACAATCAAGTACTGAGTTCAGTGCATTGGTTCCCTCCACAGGCTTGAATGGACATTTCTCCTTGGTCATGGTAATAGCCTTTAGTGGATGGTGAATGAGTATTTCATCTTCACCTTTGTGGATTTCTTCATAATGGGAGGATGACTGACTTCCTCACCCACCTCGTTACAGAAAGAGGTGGCATACACAGCCTACAGTGGCTATTATCATGGCAACCATGTTTGCAACACTGTAGTGAGATAATCAGTTATTTGACATTTTATAGACTATTTCTATAAAATAGCAGCTACTTATATCTCACGGATGATAAATGGCACAGCTCACTGGATATGATATTGGGAGGCTCGTGCCAGAGCACTGCCTAATTCTAATGAAAACAGATATGGAAACCTCTGACTATGTGGCAATGATACCATCTAATCTCCAAGTTTTTCAACCCAGTCCCTGATACATGGGAAATCTCTTTAGTTACTCAATGGTGAAGAAATGAGCTGGCAAATTATAGGTTTAGCTATTCCCACTTGATATCTTCCATGAAAATGGACATTATTGGCCAGAATCCTATTGGTGATTTACCCCAACAAAAGTGAAGTGGAAGTCATGGCAGTGAATGGCTACTAAGTAATGGATGCTTGTTACATTCGTAGTTGTGAGCCCAATAGTGGGACAAGCACTGAACCAGAAATGCAAATGCATCTTGTCAATTAGCAGCAATCTATTGTCAATTAGAAGCTTTCCCCACATTTTTCTATAGGGCTAAATCAAATTTTAGTCCCACTTAGAGCAATGAAATGAATGGTCTTGTTGCTCAACACCAGAATCTGCTCAAGTCCCATTGATTCTGATGGCTCTATGCTAGTTGGGCTAACATTGAATTCAGTCCATAGAATTGAAACAAATTATTCATCTTCTCCTCCTGCCAACACACACACACACAAAACATTTTTTTCAGGTTACTGGGGTGACAGGTCCATTCAAGTTGTCTCCTATCATATTTGGCTGAAATAAAATGTGTTTTTTCTGAGAGATTTTCTCTTTTAGGTGACAAACCAACAGTAGTAGATCACAACTGTGCCACAGAGAAAACAGACCTTGCTTGATTCACTTTTTTCAGTCCATTCATTCATTTCCCCCTTCCCATTTCTGTTCTGTAAAATGCCCTGTTGATACATCAGTGATTCATGAGGCAGAAAAATTTCTAATGCCAGCACACGCCCACTGCTCTGAGTAGAAAATTACAGGGAATTTGTTATGTCATTCAAACAAGATTCCTCCCCCCCTTTGGCAACACACTATGAAATAATTTCTCATGCTGTGGTAATTAAAGTACTATCTGGTTCCACAGAATTGTCCTGTTTCCTGTTAACTATGCCACAAATGAGAACTCTGACTATCCCTATATGCTACCTGATAATTAGTTAAATTTGAAGACTGGATGCAGGAGAAAATATTGATTTGAAAGCACTTCAAAACAGCAAGAGGGATTTCTCTAAAGACTGGCCTTAAGAAACTGGGGACACTTTTATTCTGTTACGGAGAAGATTGCAGTGCTATATTTTACCAAAGCCAGGATACATTTATGAAAGCAGATTTAATGTACTTATGAACTTTCCAAAGCAAATTAAAACTCTGTATACCTAATTTTAATTATATTGTTGATATACACAGACAGTGTTTAGATTGTAATTTGACTACATTTTGCCAAGTCAGACCAGCATCCTATGCTTGTTCTTTATTTGATATTATATTTTAAAAATATAATATTGATTCTTTCTTCTCGTGGATCATAAAACTTCAGAACTGGAAGATGTAAAAATTTTTCCCATTTCCCAAATAAAACTTAACTAAGCTGCAGATACAAACAACAGGCACATTACACTGGGAATTAATATTCTGAAAAATTATAACTTTCTATGATACTCCATGTTATAATTCACATCAAACTGGCATTTCTTTTGTTTAAAACAAACAAGAAACATTTCTTTTGTTAGAACAACGGGCATTTAAAGGAGGCTTTCAATGGCAGCTGTTTTATTTTCCACTTTACTACTTCCTGTGACTTCATATGATTTTTGGGTTCAACTGTAATATTTAAAAATAAATGGAGATTGGCAAACCCTCAGGTTTACTGTGATTCATATCACATTTATGGGATGGATTTAATTCAGTTAAAGATTTCTCATTATTTACAATGGACTGGGGATTTCAGTTACAGAAGGATCAGTTACTAAGACAGTAAAGTAACAGATATCCCTAAGGGATATTTACAAATCCAATATACTCCTCTTCTGAATCTTTACACTTATATTTCAAATGGAATTAAAATATTACAATTTTGATATTCTGGAGAAGAAAAAAAATTATAATAACATATTAAGGTAATTTGTATCATTGCTCTTTAAATTCACTGGCACTGATGCTTCCTAAAAACTTAAAGCTTCTTCATGTATACCTATACCTATGATCTACTATGACCAATGGAAAATGCCAAGCTTTCTTTAAGGCTATGTGGTAAGTCTTGAATAGTTTGCAAGGCTATTGTATGAAACCACTGCTTCCCCCACCTTGTTTTCTTACTATCTTTCATATCGGTTATCAGATCCACAAGGAAACACTTAATTGGCAACTGAAGCCTTTATTGCCAAACTGAATCCTGGTTTTGTGGTGCTAAGTGAAGAGCATCAGGTTGCAGTTTCAGACATTTCCTACCTGTGTTTAGTTTTCTTGCTGCGGTGTTGAAATCAGCTTACAGGAAGAATGTGCCTTAAGTGTTCCACGCTACTGCGCCTCCCCCCCCCAAAAAAAAAATACAAGAGAAAGTAAATTCGCTTACCTGTAAGGAGAGGCAGCCTAAAACATGGTCTTGGTTATCAGTCCGCTGCGAGTTTATGGACTGTTTTCAGCACCCGGACAGCTCCCTTCGCTTATAGTGTACATCACCTGACCCTCCACTGCCATACTGACGTCACCTCAATCGCTGGCAAAAAAAAATAAAATGCTGCTGAGCTATTGAGAAAGAATGCTAGAGAAAAAAAGCGTAGTTTCGGCCGTTTTGGAGAGGTTTCCTTTGTACACTTCCGCCCCCTACCTTCCTCATCTGCTCAAGTCCCATTGATTCTGATGGCTCTATGCTAGTTGGGCTAACATTGAATTCAGTCCATAGAATTGAAACAAATTATTCATCTTCTCCTCCTGCCAACACACACACACACAAAACATTTTTTTCAGGTTACTGGGGTGACAGGTCCATTCAAGTTGTCTCCTATCATATTTGGCTGAAATAAAATGTGTTTTTTCTGAGAGATTTTCTCTTTTAGGTGACAAACCAACAGTAGTAGATCACAACTGTGCCACAGAGAAAACAGACCTTGCTTGATTCACTTTTTTCAGTCCATTCATTCATTTCCCCCTTCCCATTTCTGTTCTGTAAAATGCCCTGTTGATACATCAGTGATTCATGAGGCAGAAAAATTTCTAATGCCAGCACACGCCCACTGCTCTGAGTAGAAAATTACAGGGAATTTGTTATGTCATTCAAACAAGATTCCTCCCCCCCTTTGGCAACACACTATGAAATAATTTCTCATGCTGTGGTAATTAAAGTACTATCTGGTTCCACAGAATTGTCCTGTTTCCTGTTAACTATGCCACAAATGAGAACTCTGACTATCCCTATATGCTACCTGATAATTAGTTAAATTTGAAGACTGGATGCAGGAGAAAATATTGATTTGAAAGCACTTCAAAACAGCAAGAGGGATTTCTCTAAAGACTGGCCTTAAGAAATTGGGGACACTTTTATTCTGTTACGGAGAAGATTGCAGTGCTATATTTTACCAAAGCCAGGATACATTTATGAAAGCAGATTTAATGTACTTATGAACTTTCCAAAGCAAATTAAAACTCTGTATACCTAATTTTAATTATATTGTTGATATACACAGACAGTGTTTAGATTGTAATTTGACTACATTTTGCCAAGTCAGACCAGCATCCTATGCTTGTTCTTTATTTGATATTATATTTTAAAAATATAATATTGATTCTTTCTTCTCGTGGATCATAAAACTTCAGAACTGGAAGATGTAAAAATTTTTCCCATTTCCCAAATAAAACTTAACTAAGCTGCAGATACAAACAACAGGCACATTACACTGGGAATTAATATTCTGAAAAATTATAACTTTCTATGATACTCCATGTTATAATTCACATCAAACTGGCATTTCTTTTGTTTAAAACAAACAAGAAACATTTCTTTTGTTAGAACAACGGGCATTTAAAGGAGGCTTTCAATGGCAGCTGTTTTATTTTCCACTTTACTACTTCCTGTGACTTCATATGATTTTTGGGTTCAACTGTAATATTTAAAAATAAATGGAGATTGGCAAACCCTCAGGTTTACTGTGATTCATATCACATTTATGGGATGGATTTAATTCAGTTAAAGATTTCTCATTATTTACAATGGACTGGGGATTTCAGTTACAGAAGGATCAGTTACTAAGACAGTAAAGTAACAGATATCCCTAAGGGATATTTACAAATCCAATATACTCCTCTTCTGAATCTTTACACTTATATTTCAAATGGAATTAAAATATTACAATTTTGATATTCTGGAGAAGAAAAAAAATTATAATAACATATTAAGGTAATTTGTATCATTGCTCTTTAAATTCACTGGCACTGATGCTTCCTAAAAACTTAAAGCTTCTTCATGTATACCTATACCTATGATCTACTATGACCAATGGAAAATGCCAAGCTTTCTTTAAGGCTATGTGGTAAGTCTTGAATAGTTTGCAAGGCTATTGTATGAAACCACTGCTTCCCCCACCTTGTTTTCTTACTATCTTTCATATCGGTTATCAGATCCACAAGGAAACACTTAATTGGCAACTGAAGCCTTTATTGCCAAACTGAATCCTGGTTTTGTGGTGCTAAGTGAAGAGCATCAGGTTGCAGTTTCAGACATTTCCTACCTGTGTTTAGTTTTCTTGCTGCGGTGTTGAAAGCAGCTTACAGGAAGAATGTGCCTTAAGTGTTCCACGCTACTGCGCCTCCCCCCCCCAAAAAAAAAATACAAGAGAAAGAAAATTCGCTTACCTGTAAGGAGAGGCAGCCTAAAACATGGTCTTGGTTATCAGTCCGCTGCGAGTTTATGGACTGTTTTCAGCACCCGGACAGCTCCCTTCGCTTATAGTGTACATCACCTGACCCTCCACTGCCATACTGACGTCACCTCAATCGCTGGCAAAAAAATAAAATGCTGCTGAGCTATTGAGAAAGAATGCTAGAGAAAAAAAGCGTAGTTTCGGCCGTTTTGGAGAGGTTTCCTTTGTACACTTCCGCCCCCTACCTTCCTCAGGGAAAAACTGCACCCTTTTTTGTAATCAAGGGCCAACGAAATCCTTCAGGGAAAACCCGGTCATTAGGATTGTAAGATAGATGCCGGTTTATAGACTTCCCTGTGGACTTGTCCCTTGCTAGTCTATAGGAGGCATATTTCTTCTGGTCGTTCTTTGAATGAACGACCAGCAAGGATTTCTGACTTCCTGTTGTTTAATAAAGGCTGCTCTGGCCTCAGGAAGAAAGCTTGAGGGCTATTTGTCTGCCCATGCAGAGCCACTCCAAACAAATTCCTAGGATTAGAATTTTTTTATTATTCTACCTATTTATTTATTTTTTAAAAAATGTATTTATTGGTCTTCAGTCATAAGAGCTATCTTAGTCATGTACATAACACTTTAAAACAGCAAGTGCAGTATTTTTTTAAAATGCAATGATAAATTAAGAAGCTCAAAAGCACCTCACCCAGCTATGGTAAGTTATAAAATTGCTTGGGAGAAAAAGGTCAACATGAATTGTATCCCTCTGGGTGGTCACTGGGTGGTCAACACAAAGAAGACATTTCCCCTTGTTAAAGCATAGTTTATTTCCCCTCCAAAAATCTTCATGCAGGATTGTACAAGGAGACATACTTTTTCACAGATCTGGTGTATGGCATTCATTCAAGCCCTGATTGTGGCAACCTGGCTCCTAATGAACAAAAACAAAATATCCAAAGAAAGTTGACCCTGAAAGCTTATGTCTACCAACCTCTCTTCTGAAAGCATTTTGCTGTTATAGTAATTCCACAAAGCACAAAATATTTCATCCCTCCACTATCATAACATTCTTTCCCCTCCTTTCGAGACATGGGAATGTCCATCCCTCCATCCTAGCTATTAGAGGAGCTGTGTTTTATCATCAGCACATGCACTCCATCTTTGTTTGATTGGAATGAAACATATTGAAATTTGTATGCACCCCTCTTGTTCTATGGTGGCTCTTTTCCTTTTAAGTCACAATGCCACTGCTAGGCCTTACTGACAAAAAACATTTCTTTCTTAACAGTGTTGACCTTCCACAGAACAAAATGCAAATGCCTGAGTGGTTCTACCTTTCAATTCAATAGATAGGATAAAATTACCTTGTTGGAAATCCTAGCATGTTTTTGGTGAGAGTCTATAAAAGCTTTAACCTTTCATATACAAGGCCCTGCTGCACACTGTGCTTGAGCCTCTTGCTTCTCAGTAAGGAATTCCATTTATTAATGAACCTTTCTATTAGACATGGAACAAGCAGAAAAACCAAGGTCTCCAGACATACAAATGAAAAGTGAATGGTGTCCTCCCTCCCATGCCATGCCCCACATTCACATATATTATCTCCAATGACTTAAATGAGCATAAAAACTTAATAAAAATGTCAAGCAGTGATGGAATCCAAAGTAAGATAGCATTGTTGGAAAAGGGATGCTATTGTGGGCATTCCATTTGTTGAGCCCTTGGTTGTGCTACTAGAAAGCAATAGATGGATGCTATTGTGGGCATTCCATTTGTTGAAAATAATTGAGAAGAGCGCCTTGCAGCCCTTGGTTGTGCTACTGGAAAGCAATAGATTACAGGTATATGGTTCTGTTCCTATAGAATCACACAAAAGAGAATGATGGATTTGAGCCTATAGGTTCCCTCTGTTGAAATCCTCTCTTTCCCTTTTTCCTTAATTCCCTGCTGTGCTGGCTCTCTGTTTGCATCAGGTTTGCATACATTGTTCCAGTGAATGTTTCCTCCCAACCCCCAGCTCTGCTTCTTGGATAATTTCTTCTTCTTTATTCTCTGTGTCTTACACAAGCTTGTCTGTAGCTGCAGTATTAGCTTCTCGTTCTAGTTCCTCCCACCTTTGACCATATGGCATTTCTATGTCTCAATAATGCTGCAATGAACTGCAGAGAGGTTTTACGATTATTTCCCTGGAACTATCATTGTCATCATTGTCAATATTACCACCCACCATCCCCATCCCACCTTTCCAGTAGAAACAGTGATTAAGGCAGCTTACAAACATGATAAAACAGTCTAACAATAAAATGACTGACCACAGTGAACCACATTACCATTAAAGCCAGCTTAGTTCAGAACTTCTCTGTGCCAAAAACATGGGTATTTTATGGTCTTAAACACTGCAAGAAGGCTCTGTAGCCTGTTTATAAGGTGAATCACCCTTACAAGAGCAGCAATTCAACTTGGCCAGTATCTTGTTCATGATTTATTGATACATATACAATATTGCATTGGTTGCAGGTTGAATTGCTGCTAATTAATTCAATGCCAGTTGTGTTCCTGGTTGTGTGCCGGTCACATGTCTGGTCCAGGGATGCAAGCAGTACTTCATCAATTAGCAGCCATTCGCAACAATTTAACATGATTTGATTTATGTATGTGCAAATCACCAATAACATTCTCCTGACTTTCTGACAAGGAAAGAGGCCACAAAAACAGCATTTGGAGCCACGCACAGTCCCAACACTACACTTCTCCCACCTCTGTTTTAACAGTTAAAAACTACACCCTGAACTGTCCTAGAAACCAATCAGTAAACAGTGCAGGTTTATCATTGTTAAAAGTAGCATGA